TTTTATCCCTTTAAGTGAGGTCAGTAATCTTGTGAAAAATATCCCAGAAATGGAAAATTTTCTCCAGAAAGCCAAGTCTGATTATGAGAAGTCATCAGAAAGTGATTCAAGACTAGCAGAGCAGGTAAAGAAAAAGTGACAAAACAATTCCATCTCCTCATATGTACATGTAGCACTAAAGCTCTTCTTTATATGGTTGTGACACATTATGTAATGGGATGGATGATAGTTGTGGCACTTCAATATCTTATATGTACTTTCTAATTTACTTGTGATGGTTTTCAGCTGAGAAGTCTGAGAGCCAAGGTGGAAGAAGCCAGAAGCTCAATGCAGGCAGCCAGGAGTAAAGGAAAAGTCATAGACTCCCTTATGAATCTAAAGAAAAATGGTCAGATGCCGGGATTGTTTGGAAGATTGGTAGGAAACCCAAATTGGTTTTAATTTTGGCATGCCTAACACCCTTTAACATTAGTCTGTTTAGATCCTGTTATATACTAATAGGGGTAAGGCATTGTACAATGGAAAATCTGTGATCTTTGGTTGCAGAATTATGGTTGACTTGGGTCATTATTTGCGAATCTTTCATTTTGGGATTCCAAATGTACTTGTATGCAATCGTCTGAGTGCCATCAACTACCGATGATCTTTTGTTCTGTAGGGAGACCTTGGTGCTATCGACATGAAGTATGACATTGCCATATCGACTGCGTGTGGAGCTCTAGACCACATCGTTGTGGACACAGTGACATCTGCCCAGCGATGTGTAGAGTATCTGAAGAAGAACAATATTGGGGCAGCTACATTTATCTGTCTGGAGAAGATGCAGAGGTGGAAGGAACACACAAAGAAAAAAATTCAAACGTAATTACAAATACTTTACAAATTCTAAAGTATTGCTTAGATTTAGTATCTAAGGAAGGATAGATTCATTTACAGAATTCTGTCTGACTAATTTATTTTGGGTCGCTTGTGAAGGAGAAAAGATTATTTGTATGTAATTATGACTGTTGGCATTTGGCCAGCATACACATATATATCTGAAGACTTTTGGCACTGCTGGAAATGTTTGCTATCCTTATAACATATTTGTTAATATTAAAGAGTGCTTTTCTTTCTACAGCCCAGAGAATGTCCCCCGACTGTTTGACTTAGTGAAAACTAAGGAGGAGAAGATTCTACCTGCCTTTTATTTTGCCCTGAGGGACACTTTGGTGGCCAATGATTTGGACCAGGCTACAAGGATTGCCTACGGGAAAACTAGATACAGAGTTGTGACCCTTCAGGGGCAACTACTGGACCAGTCAGGTATGTTAAAGTATTGATATGTATAACCCAATACATTAAAATTGCATATATATAAGAATTTAGGGATATATAATGATCAATTGCAGAAAAATTTAAACATTTATTATCGCACATAATTCATATTCTGCAGTTTGGATTTGGATTCAGAAACACATGATTTTATCCTTTCATTCTTCTAAAGAAGAAATTCAAAGGAATTATAAAAGAGTAATCTGTCATTATTTCAACATTGTTAACAATAATGTAAATGTTATACATGTATCTGAGTGTTAGAGCACTAGACTAAAGTAATAAATTTCATTAGGTTAATGTAACTGTCTTATTACTTGTCATTGTTTTTGTACTATGCTTCCCAGAAATGTGATATTCATTCAAGTATATTTGTTTACTTATTAGAGTGCTAATATTAAGTTATAATTCAAGTTCTAACATTGATTTAGGTACTATGAGTGGGGGAGGAAAAACTGTGTGTAAAGGAAGAATGGGATCCTCTATTGCTTCTGATGTAGACCCCAAAGAACTCACCAACATGGAAAACTCACTGGAAAAAGTAGGTAGAACCCAAAGAACTCACCAACATGGAAATCTCACTGGAAAAGGTAGATAGACCCCAAAGAACTCACCAACATGGAAAACTCACTGGGAAAGGTAGGCAGACCCAAAGAACTCACCAACATGGAAAACTCACTGGAAAAGGTAGGCAGACCCCAAAGAACTCACCAACATGGAAAACTCACTGGAAAAGGTAGGTAGACCCCAAAGAACTCACCAACATGGAAAACTCACTGGAAAAGGTAGATAGACCCCCAAAGAACTCACCAACATGGAAAACTCACTGGAAAAGGTAGGTTTTAATAAAACCAACAGAGCAAAATGGAAAACTCACTTAGAATACTGTTTTTTTTTTACAAAAAAAAACGAGAGCTTTGGCGCAGACAAGAATGCGTTCATTCATGAATACTGCTAAGAAAACATTTACTAATACAAAATAATGCATGAACATGTGTAGAGCTAAATTATGATTATGCTAACAACTCTATACCCCCTGATTCCGCTAAATTTTGAATATGCCAATTCATGTACATGTACAGTATGTTTACCCAATGAAAATGTTTTTAAAAGTATACAGTTTGAATGTTGGTCATTAGTGTGCTTGTTTTTTACAGCTTAATTAAGGTGAAGAATGGTAAACTTCATAAATTTTTGTGGTAGACATTTGGTTGTGTTGTAGGTGACAGCAGAAGCCCAGCAAAGTCGGGCCAACAAAGAAAAGCTGGAGGATGCAATCCAACAAAATCAGAAGGACTTGTCATTTATGAAGCACAAAAAAGAGAAATGTGAACTAGAAATCAAGGTTGGTGGCTGGGTGGGAGGAGATGTCTCTTATGTAATAGAAATAATGGGATTATAACCATGCAGAAAACTGACTAAAAATGAACATATTTGTAATGTTTCAGATAAAGTTTTTGAATAACAATACTTCAGCCCCAAAAAGTCGAATAGTTTTATTAATTTTAGAAAAGAATATTTTTGGCATAACTTGGATAAATTTTTTTTTTTTCATTTTTTAAAGTGGTTCAGGTGCAGATTCTGTTGCTGAAAAAAATTAGCACAAATAAGTGATTACCATGTTGATTTCCTGAGCTGAAACAATTAAAATGTTACAAAGAAATATTCTTGAAATTGAAAATATGTTTTGTTAATTTAGGCATTAGAAGAGCAAATTACGTCCTTGACCTCCCAGATTAAAGAACAAGAGGTGAAGGTCAAAGCAGCAGCTCCTGATGAAAAACAGCTAAAGGAACTGGAGACAAAGGTCAACCAGTACAGAAAAGGTCAGAGGTCATTATCGCTGTACTGTCTTATGTTGATTCTTCCTAACAAAGAGGAAATGTTAGGGAAAAAAAAGTAGAATGAAATCAAAACAAAAGAGTGATAATGAATTTTCTTTATTGCTTACAGATTTTGACAAAGCAAATGGAGCAGCATCAAAGGTTGAAGCAGAAGTACAGAAGTAAGGCTTGTGCTGATGCCAAGCAAAAGTTTACTTCTCTTATGAAGCATTGATTGGGATAAAAAAAACTTCAGCTTATAAAAAATAAATGTATTTCACTTGTTTATTTTTAATTGCAGACTCCACAAACAGATTATGGACATTGGTGGGACTAAGATGAAGGCAGCTCAGGCCTGTGTAGACGCTGTAAATAACAAGATTGACACAGTTACTGGACAAATTACCAAAGCCCAGGTGGGCATCAAGACCGCAGAAAGGTAAATGTAGGAACTATTCTCTGTTGCAGAAAGGCTTTAGAAAATTAAAAAAAAAAATCAAAATAATTTATTGGCAATTTATAAATCTGGCATGTATTTGATCTGTTTAAATTAGATGTACTAAAATAGCAGAGTTTTATTGGGTTAAAAATTTGGAGGTTTCTGCTCCAAATTGAATTTAATGGGAGTTAGTATTGTGGTTTTTCTAGTCTATGTTTAAATTAATTTTCATTAATATTGATGTTTACAATTCCATGTTAAAATTTTGTCATATTTAATTTGTTGAAAATTTTGTCATACTTAATTTGTTGAAAATTTTGTCATATTTAATTTTTTTGAAAAAATTTTATCTATAAATAAAATATATAAAATTAAAGCATTTCTGATGAATAAATTGCTAATTACAGATCTCTTTGTTTTGTTCAGAAATCTGAAGAAAGCCGAAGAAAAAGTCATCACTGCTGGGGAAGATATTGAAGAAAACAAGAATAAGATTGAAGAGTTACAGAAACAACTAGAGACTCTGGAGAGTGATGCTACCAATGTACTGAAGGCTTATAAAGAGGCCCAGGTAATTGTACATTCATTTAGAAAAACATATTCAGAAATAAAGTTTTTCATTTACAAAAAAATCATATGATGCTGATAAAGGGTCAAAAAGAGGTAATAAAAGGAAAAGACCTGGAAGACGAATTGTAGCATTAACATCATGCATATTAAATGTATGAGACATCCAGAAATTTGGCTTTCAATGGAAATTCATTTGTAAGATAGGAATGTTATTGAGTTCATTGTTGTAAACTCTGGATGTTTCATTTACACACCTTTCTGATGTGTGAAAGTACAGTATGTTGGGTTTTGTTTTGGAATACAGGACAAGATGAAGGAGTCGGAGGTGATTCTAAATGAAGTTCGGGCTGAGATTAGTAAACTGGAGAAGGATGAAAACGAGCTCCAAAAAGACGTAGTGGATGTACGCCATGAACTGGAGCGGATCGAGGGCATTGTTAAAAGCAACAAACTCAAAGTCAAACACTGGAAAAAAGAGGTAACAAATATAAATAGTATCATGCATAGAGTAGTAAAGAGACAAATTAAATGCTGAAAAGTAGAGGTTCATAATTGTATATAGACACTGAGAAAACTGTAAGTGCAAGAAAGTTAAGCAAGGAAAGAAGTTTTACAAGTTACGATTTAGGAAGGCTGAAAACAAAAATAAACCCCAGTTTTCCTTTTATGGCGTATATTAAAATGAAGAAAAATTAGAAAATTATAGCATGCAGTATTACTGTAATAAAAATTGTTATTTTGTGTATAGGGCTGTCACGGGTACCCGAAATGACCCGGAACCGCGGAACAATTAGTTCGGGTCGGGTACGGTTCCGTTTTTCCGGAATTCGGTTTGGTTCCGATTTGTCTAATAGAGTAGATTTTACTATAAAAATGGCGTCAAAAACAAGAGATTGGTTAGTACATTGTCATTATAAGGTGATTTAAATAATTTGGTACAATTGTTGTCTAGTCAGGAGGCTACTTTAAACTGGTTATAATGTTGCAATTTCTAAGATTAAATGAAAATATTCTTTTTATTGTTGAAAATAATACAAATCATGAGCTTTTCTTCCATTACCTACCCGACCCGAGAAACCCAAAACCGAACTTTAAAAAATCAGAACCGACCTGCCCCGAAAAATTTTTGGAACCGTGACAGCCCTATTTGTGTACAAGCTGCAAGTCAAATACAGCTACAATTCTTTGTAGATGAGCACATTGTCCTTGACACCAATTGATGGTAAAGAGACGGGGGAATTAACAGAGCTTTCCCCTGAGGCTCTGAAGGACATAGATAAGGAGGGGGTGCAGTACGAAATCACAGTGCTGGAGGAAAAACTGGCGCAAATGAAACCCAACATGGCAGCTATTGCAGAGTATCGCAAAAAGGTACGTAACAGCTGGAGATCTCTGCTGTTTGGTTCTTGGTGGAAATTCGAAATGAATTTGAAATATGGAGGAAATTAAACATTGAAATTGAAAAGCAATCAGAAGAGAAATTTGCATACGGTATTATTATGGCATAGAGTGCTTGAGCTCGAAAGTCATATAGCATCTTCAATTTATTTTATAACATAATAAAGATACTTTATTTTTATTAACAAACGAAAAACATGATAGCTGTTGCAGATGAATTTCTAAAGAAATGGTGGATTACATTTATGACATGAATAACATTTTAGAAGGATAACCCTAAGGCCAGGTAAAATTAATCTTTAGATTCTCATCCTAATTTGCAAAAAAATTGGGGCGGGTGGGCGGATTTTTTATTTTATTTTTTATAATTGTTAATTTATATATAGGTCTAAGTATCAGCAAAACAATGGACGCCCCGTACACATTTTTTCATTACCTTAATGCAAATATGAATAGATTTAATTCTTTTCATATTCTTTTAAATATTTAAAGAAATTTTTTTCTTTAAAAGTTAAATATTTATTGTTAATTAACAAATTATCAAGTACACGGCACACCCTGAACAAATTGAGGTGGGGGTACCAATAAATTGTGTATGCATGACTTCTTATTTTGCAAAATCTATATAAATGTTCTACTAATTATTCTACTGAAAAATCTAGGCCTTCTCTTAAGTCTGTCTACGATATTGTAGATTTTTTTTTATTTCAAAGCTAAGTCACACAGCTGGAGATCGTTATATATAACTTGACTTTCCTCGTCTATTTTTACTTAGTTACAATCTCTCTACATACTTGCTCCTGCCAGTGATGGTATCTATATTTGTTTATGCTATTTTTTCTTCTCTGTCTTCTCTATACTGACAAATTATCTTTTCCTTACACATTTAAACTGCTTTTTTTGCCGATTTTTCTCCATTCTTCACATGGCGTTTTTGCTATAAATAGCGACACGCGACTTTTAATACAGTCGGGAGATAACTCTTAAACTTTGACCCAAATTCTTAGTGAATAAAAATACATGAAAATACCCCAAAATCAAAATAAAAAACATCGGGGCGGGACATTTTGAGAGGGGCGGGCGGGGATGAGAATCTAAAGATTAATTTTATATGGCCTAAAGGCTGTAAAATTATCACAATATTACTAAACAACAATACAGAAAGACAAAAAGGATTGAATTTCAAAATCTCAACCATGCTTTTACAATCCTATAACCAATTTTATGATAAAAAAAAAAACTGAAGATATTAGGCCATGCAAAATTAATTCCTTGGTTCTCAGGCCTTTTTTCAAGAAATATGATGAGGGAGGGAGGCATTTTTTTTTACTTTTTATTGCCCCCAAAACATGATGAGGCAGCTTTTTACATTGTACAAAACCTCAAAAAATGATGAGGGAGGTGATTTGTTGTTTTTATTTTATTGATTTAGCAATAAAAAGGGTCAATGAGGCACCCTTGGAAGAGATGAGGGAGGGCCTGAGAACCAAGAAATTAATTTTTTTTGGCCTTAACTGTTTTCTCTATTTCCATTATTTCACAGACTACCGTATACTTAGCCCGATCATAACTCGATTGTAGTCATAACAGCCTGAATCATAGTTTTAGTTTAGATGTAGTTTAGATGGTTAGACATTGACAGTTAGAAGGATATTTATATAAATTCATCAGATCCTTCATAATTTTTCAACTGACTGAAAAGAGATGAGTTTGATATTTAGAATGAACATGTTCTATGATGCCTAGTCAACCCAGCCAGAAATTGATATTAATTCCTTGATTCTACTGTTACTGGTTTTTGTTTTGTTTTTCTTTGTCAAACCCCAAAATTCACATTCCCTTTTCAAGGAGGTTTGACCACCCATTAAGTGAGAAAATTGGTCAAAAAATATTTCATAGAATTAATTGTAGGAATTATCTATCAAGTGCTTTGTTATGAAAGTTTACAAATCTTAAACCCATATAAATTTCTTTTCAAATCATGGCTTTAGGCTTGGGAGACCCTTCTATACTATTTTGTAATTGACTGCTATGTTCTAATTTTACACATAATCTTAATATTAACTTATGCTTTTTTCTTAAAAAAATTATTTTTAGCTAAATTCTTCAGTTTTAAGTATTACTGGGTTCTTCATAGTGTTCCCTTAATCTTTTGTAAACTCTCCTAGACAGCTTTGCATTGGTTTGACTTTGATCAGGCCATGTTTTGCCATCAAAAAAGTGACCACAAGCACATCTTGGAATATCTTCTAAGATGATTTTTCAATGTTATTACTGAATTAATTCAATTGTATATAAATTATAGAATCATATTTGGTGTCTGTTTAGCTACTATTTATGAAGAAGCAGGTTTTTCTGTCAAAGTTGCTGTGAACTGTGTCAGAATTTATCAGATCACAGCACGCTTTGATGGCTAAAACTGCTTTGACAGCCAAGATCTGTAGGGTTCAATTTGATTCAGTTTGAAAAAAAACTGAAATACTTTCCTTGTTTAAATGTGTTATAATGAGCAATTAGATTGGGTTATTAACTTAGGATCATGATGATGTGAAATATTAATGCTTCAAATGGATCATAATAAGTTCAAAATGAATCATGCCTACTCTAAGCATTATATGATTCAAATTATCTGTGATGAAAATAAAACTTGTATTCTTTTGATAGAAATAAAACAATCAGATTCCGAAGATCTGGAATAGAAACCAAAGGTTCAGTTTGATTAGATTTTTTTGTTGAAAAATCAGAGACACCATGTTAAAAAAATTGAGTCTTATTCCAACACAATTGTCTAATTTTGTTATGTTCGTACTGTTATGTTTTTAGTTTTGAAAGGCTTGAGTGAGCTTGCATTGTTGTAATATATTATAAGGGGGAGTTAAGGGAACAGAATTCCATTCCATTCCATTCTTAGAAACAGGAATAAATACTAATGAAGTATCAGACATTTAAAAAAAAAAATACTTTAAGTAACTGTGAATATTATAAATAAATGTAAAATTGTTTTAATATTCTCCTTTCATAATATTTTGAAAAATACAGACACAAAAAAAGTATCTAGCTAAAAGAATTTTTTTTTCAAAAGTTTGACACTTTTTAAGCAAAGTTGTTTATCTTGAATATTTCACTTCATTAGTAGTCAATTACATGTTGATTTATTGTATCAATTTAATCATTATAATGACCTCAGAGATGAATGTTTTAATTGATTTGACAGGATTAATTTTCACACAGCATGTGTCCTGGGGAGTTTTACCTGTTGATTGTTTAGCAGATAGAACAGGTGTGACTACCTGTCCCCACTGAGCAGTAGTAATTATCCCTTACCTGTAGGGAAGATTGACAGGTGTGACCTACTTATCCAATTTAACCTGTGGGGTGGAGTTACTGGTTTCACCAGGGGAGAAATTATGGTTATAATCACTCAGGTGTCACAAGAGTTACTCAGAAGGATGTATATAAGTAAGGGACTGTACCCAGGGTTGACACAGAGGTCATGGGACCTACACACAGGTTAACAAGGAGGAGGATCCAGGAGTACGAGGAACGGTATGTCGTGGAGACATCAGAGTTGTTGTGATGTGTAATAAATCAGGTCATATCACAGCACGCTTTGATGGCTCTACACATACACAGAGCAGCGGAACCATCAAAGCATGACCATGATAGATTGCTTTATTCCTGTTAAATATTTGTAAGAAAGAAAGAGTTTTCTAACATAATA